TTAAATTTTAGCCATTAAAATAATCTTATTTGTGACATAAAAAATCTTATTATTTCTCATTTACTTAGCTTTTATAATGATTATGTATTTCTGTAAATTTAACCTCTGGCTTTTATTTTTGTTTTGGATAATTAAAAAGTGAGTCAGCCTTATTTCAGGTGTACTGCCTAAAAATATTTGGATAAACTAAACCACACATTTTTTAAAACATGTATATAAATGTATATTTATATATGTAACATATATATTTATTTACATGTTTGCACAGGTATGTATGTGTGTATATAAACTTATGTATGTGTGTGTTTGTGTATATATGTGCATATGTGTTTGTGTATGTGTGTGATCTAGAGAAGTTCATTTAAAACCTCTGAATCTCAATTTTGTCATCTATAAAATGTCGGTGGTGATGTCAATGTGAAGAGCTTGTTATTAGGATTAAATCTAATGGAATCACGGAAGAAATCCTGACAAATTGCAAGTGCCAGTGTGTGGAGATAGCCAATAAAAGTTCATGCTGTTATTGTTACTTTCATGTAGGATGCCACCTGGATTGAAGGTTTAGTTTTCCTAATCGCTGTGAAACAATCATCGGAATTTTTTCTCCTTGCTTTTTCCTCTTTTGTATGACAGCATTAATACTGATGCCCAGGTATATACATTTTAGGAGAGTTATAAGAATAAAAGCAAGTGGAAATGTTTTTAAATGGGCTTAAAATATTTACAGCTATTTCTGTTGATAAAAAATTAAGGGACACAAGTAACCTGTTTGGATTTATTTTTACATAAGAAAAAAAAATGTCCTCTTCACATTACTGAAACAGATGTATAATGGCTGAGACTGCTTCCTCATTAGAAACAGGGATCTAATTTTATTTAAATAATGTTATGTGATGGATTAGAACCTTGGAACATGAATAATCAAAGAGATGCTACACTGGTGTCCAAGAGATATTGTAACGTCACAGAACATATCCTGCCACTCACCACTTGGAAAGTCCTATTACCAAGAGCAAGGTCTGGTAGAAAGAGACTTTTTCTTCCAAGCTTAGCTGAGGGGAAGCGGGAGAGGCTTCTGTCTTAATGGGAAGTCCTTCCCCTTTCAGGGCAGTAGACAGGGTCTTTTAAGGGGGTCTTGGCAGTAATGACATGCAGGGGGTGAGGAGATGGGGGTCCAATGACTTGCTTGTGGTGTCTTTTCTACCCGGTGGTCTGGCTGGCACCATCGCAGGCAGAGCTGGGTTGTAAATTGAGGCAATCTCCTAGTGGGAGGGAGTTCTGTGGGTGCCTGATTTGCTTCAAGATTCCTTCTCGAGAACTTCTAGGTAAACACAAAGTCATAAAGTTGCCCTGTAGAATGTGTCTGGTGGAGACAGTAAAGGATATATTTGTATTCCTAACCAGCCAAGAAGGAGGTGAGGGAGAAGGAAAAAATAAATTCATATCGAGACCATCCTGGCTAACACTGTGAAACCCCACCCCTACTAAAAGTAAATATATATATATACACACACACACACACACACACACACACACACATATATATATATATAAAAATATATATATAAATAAAAGATTAGCCGGGCGAGGTGGCGGCGCCTGTAGTCCCAGGTACTCGGGAGGCTGAGGCAGGAGAATGGTGTGAACCCGGGAGGCGGAGCTTGCAGTGAGCCAAGATCACACCACTGCACTCCAGCCTGGGCCACAGGGAGACTCCGTCTTAAAAAAAAAGAAAAAAGTCTCATGGAAAGTTTATCATAGATTGCCCTATATAAAATACAAATGATAGAAATGTTTGGAATGTTGTTAGTAATTACAAATAGTACTTACTCTATCTGCCAATAATTAAATTACTAATACAAATTATATACTACTGCTCAGTCTTCGTGCTGATCCCATACTGTTTCCAAATGACTTACATGAAAATAATTTATTCCTCTATATTGCCCTTCACAAATTACCAGAGGTCATAAAATAATTGCTCTGTAGAGGCCCAGAAACTTGTAGGAATTTTCTTAAAATGTATTTGGAATTCCCAATAGGGAATAATTTCAGTACATTTAAATGTTTTTAATTAGGGTGAATATACTTAAGATAAACTGCATCATTTTAACCTTTTTAAGTGTACAGTTCTGTGGCATTAAGGACATTTATATTGTTGTGCAACCGCCCCCACCATGCATCTCCAGAGCAGTTTCATCGTCTCCAACTAAAATTATGTTCTCCACACAATTATTCTCCTGTCTCCCTTCCCCCATCCCCCGGGGTCCAGCATTCCACTTTCTGTCTCTGTGAATTTCACTACTCTGGGTACTTCATGTAGGTGAATTCATACAATATTTGCCTCTTTGTGGCTTATTTCACTTTGCATAATGTCATCAAAGTTCATCTGTGCTATAGCATGTGTCATAATTTATTTCATGATTAAAATGAATAATAGTCTATTGTATGTACTCACTACATTTTTTATTGATTTCTCTGTGGACGGACACTTAAGATATTTCTGCCTTTGGGATGTTGTGAATAATGCTGCTGTGAACGTGGGCATAGAAGTATCTTTTTGAGGGTCTTATTTCTTTGGGTCCACATTCTGAAGTGAAATAGCTGGAGCATATACTAATTCTGTTTAATTTTTGAAGAAATTACTATACAGATGGTCCAGAAACACAATATTTTGATGATTTTTTGACTTTAACATGCATTTATAGGAACATGTAATCCTATTGTAGGTTAAGGAGCATCTGGAATTACAATGGTTTGACTTACAATATTTTAACATTGAGATGACTTTTTCAGGATAGTAAATGTATATTTTACTTATGATATTTTTGACTCATAATGATTTTATCAGGCTGAAATCCATCATAAATCGAGAAGCCTCTCAATCATTTTCCTCAGAGGCTATACAATTTCATTTTGGCTCTGGCTATACTTTTGTCATTTTAGCTCTTACACTTAGGTCACTGATTTATTTTGACTTAATTGTGCTGTAAAGTAAGCATCCAATTTCAATGTTTTGAATGTAGTTATCCAGTTTTTCAAACACTGTTTATTGAAACCATTGTCCCTTCCCAATTGAGTAAACTCAGTTCCCTTTCCAAAAATATATTGCTGTTTATAGGAGAGTCTATTTCTTGACTCTGTTTTCTTCGTCCTCCTCCCCTCCTCCCCCTCCTCCTCCTCCTTCTTCTTCTTGTTCTTCCTCTTCCTCTTCTTCCTCCTCCTCTTCTTGTTTGAGACACAGTCTCACTCTGTCACCCAAGTGGGAATGTGGGGCTACAATCTTGGCTCACTGCAACCTTGGCCTCCTGGGCTCAAGCAATCCTCCCACCTCAGTTTCCCCAAGTAGCTGGGACTACTGGTGTGAACCACCTCCCCTGGCTAATTTTTGTATTTTTTGTAGAAACAGGATTTTTCCATTTTGGTTGGTCTCAATGTTCTGAGCTCAAGCAGTCTGCCTGCCTCAGCCTCCCAACGAGCTGGGATTACAGGTGTGAACAAACACACTTGACCTCTCCTTTCTTCTATTGGTATACATGCCTGGTTTTATAACAATGCCATACTGTTTTGATTACTGTAGATTTTGGAAGTGGAACAAGACAAGGATGCCCACTCTCACCATTCCCAGCCAGAGCAATCAGACAAGAGAAAGAAATAAAGGGCATCCATATTGGTAAACAGGAAGTCAAACAGTTGCTGTTTGCTGATGATATGATTGTTTACCTAGAAAACCCTAAAGACTCCCCCAGAAAGCTCCTAGAACTAATAAAGGAATTCAGCCAAGTTTCAGGATACAAAATTAATTTACATAAATCAGTAGCTCTCCTATTCACCAACAGCAGCCAAGCAGAGATTCTAAGCATTAGGGAAGCAAAGACACAGAATACACATCCTACGGGTGAGAGCTTGAGCAGAGGCATGGAAGCTAAAATGAAATTGGCATATAGATATTCAGATATCTGTATCTAGGGTCTGCGGTAACTTGAGAATTGTGAAACTGAATGAGGAGGCAAAAGAGAATGAACATTTAGTGGTGGCAGACATTAAAAGCCAAGACTGTGAGTTACATTTTGTGAAAAGGGTACCTAACATAATAATTCATTCTACATTTCAAAATAGAAGAACCAAATAATGATGTCTGACTTAGAGAAAGTTTGACTTGGGATTATTATGCAAAGACAATTCAAGAAGGAAATAAATGTTTCTCCAAATGAGTGACAGGCTGCTGCAGCTTTAGAAGTAAGTCTTACACAATAAGTGTAGAAAAATATCATCCAGAAAACGTAATGCTAATTTATTCATAATAAGATCCAAACATATGCATTTAACTTACCTTTCCATGCATTTGTTTTAAGCATAACATATAATCTTGATTACATCTGAGTCTGTGTTCGACATAAAATATTCCTATCCTTTTGAAGTTGTAAGACAAATGATTTTTCCCATAAATGCATATATTTCCTAGAAAAAATTTTGGTTATAAATATTTGTCTCATCAAATATTAATCTCTGGATAGAAAATACGATTTTTTTTCTAAATACGAAAGATTAGTTTGTCATTTAAGAGTTATAAAGTTGTTTAAATAATTCACAGTCTAACTAAACTAAGGATTTTTAAAATAATTGGCTTACTATTCTATAAGCAGTCCCCTCTTATCCACTGTTTTGCTTTCCATGGTTTCTCCTGTGATCAACTGCAGTCTGAAAATATTGTGTGGAAAATGTCACAAATGAACACTTCATAAATTATAAATTGGTTTTCAGTCATAGCCCAGTGTTGCCTCATAGTGCCTACATTGTTCCCCTCACTTTATTTCATCGTGTAGACATTTTGTCTTCCCATGAAGTATTTTGTCATCACAAGAAAAATGAGCACAGTACAACGAGGTATTTTGAGAAAAAGATAGGACCTGCATTTGCATAACTTTTATTACAGTATATAGTTATAATTGTTCTATTTTATTTGTAGTTATTTTTGTTAATCTCATCTAATTTATAAGTTAAAATTTATAACATGTATTGATGGATATAAAAAATAGTGTATATAGGATTCAGTGTCAACTGCAATTTCAGGCATTCACTGGGGGCCTTGGAATGCAGCCCCTGCGGATAATGGGGAACTACTGTACTTGACTTACCCTTGTGTCTCCCTTCAGGAAGGATCGTATGAATGCCCCATGGAAAATTACAATCAAACGTTAACTGATTTCATCTTATTGGGGCTGTTTCCACCGACGAAATTTGGCCTCTTCCTCTTCATTCTCATTGTCCTCATTTTCCTAATGGCTCTAATTGGAAACTTATCCATGATTCTTCTCATCTTCTTGGACACCCATCTCCACACACCCATGTATTTCCTACTTAGTCAGCTCTCCCTCATCGACCTAAATTACATCTCCACCATTGTTCCTAAGATGGCTTCTGATTTTCTGCGTAGAAACAAGACTATCTCCTTCATTGGGTGTGGGACTCAGAGTTTCTTCTTCATGACTTTCGCAGGTGCAGAAGCGCTGCTCCTGACATCAATGGCCTATGATCGTTATGTGGCCATTTGTTTTCCTCTCCACTATCCCATCCGCATGAGCAAAAGAGTGTGTGTGCTGATGATAACAGGATCTTGGATGATAGGCTCCGTCAACTCTTGTGCTCACACGGTATATGCTCTCCATATCCCATATTGCAAGTCCAGAGCCATCAATCATTTTTTCTGTGATGTTCCAACTATGTTGACCCTAGCCTGTACAGACACCTGGGTCTATGAGTATACAGTGTTTCTGAGCAGCACCATCTTTCTTGTGTTTCCCTTCACTGGCATTGCGTGTTCCTATGGCCGGGTTCTCCTTGCTGTCTACCGCATGCACTCTGCAGAAGGGAGGAAGAAGGCCTATTCGACCTGCAGCACCCACCTCACTGTAGTGACTTTCTACTATGCACCCTTTGCTTATACCTATCTACGCCCAAGATCCCTGCGATCTCCGACAGAGGACAAGGTTCTGGCTGTCTTCTACACCATCCTCACCCCAATGCTCAACCCCATCATCTACAGCCTGAGAAACAAGGAGGTGATGGGGGCCCTGACACGAGTGATTCAGAAAATCTTCTCGGTGAAAATGTAGACATACGTTCTGTCTTAGAGTCAAAGCACTAGGTTCATATCATCTTAGCCATGTACAGCAGTTAAGAAAAACATTATTACACGTCCAGTGTGTCAAACAGAGGTTAATCTAGATTTGCCTTTTAATTTAGTCTTGACATTATAGTTGCATATTCTAAGACATTTATTTTGTTTTTATTTGTGTTTCTTTTTATCAAAAGACAGATCATATATTTTCCACTAAATTGTAAGGGCACAGAATTTCATTATCATGTAGAAATCAAAATAATAACTGTCCAAAGGAATCATATCATTGAGCATAATAGTTATATGTTGATTATTTCCCATTATTATTAAAATAAGACAAAATAACAATAAATTATTTAAGACTACTGAATCTAATTGAATATCAAATAATATTTTATTTACTCTCAACTGCTGTCTCCTCTTTTTGCTAAAGTAATGATTTATAAAGAAATTTACCTCAGGATAAATACTTATGTCTGGGGTGAAGTCAATTTGGCTTTAGTAAAACAACAATTTCTCTATAAGAGATTCTACACAAGTTACCTTCTCTAGAACCTCTTAGATTACAGTTGACTTAGACTTAGTTGAGTGTGGAGTAGGTTATTTGAACCATTCCCCAGTCACATCACAACACACTCAATGTTTGTCTCTTGAGTAGCCACGGGTATTCTCATGCAAGACATTCTATCCTGAACAAATTTTTTTCTACTTACTCTTCTTCTAAATCAACAAGTCTGTAGATCTTGGATTGGGATCAACTCCTCTGCTGCACTATTTTTATACTTGCTTAGGCATGTGCCTAAAAGGATCAACATTATTTTCATAAAAGTTATCTGCTTAGGTCCATTCTCTGAGTGAAAGGCCATTGCTCTCCAGAAGAGCCCATTCCTGAGAAACTCTTTAATCTCTGAGGAGAGGAGGAAGAAGGAAGGTAGAATGAACAAGTAAGAGAAAAGCCCTGCATTTTACAATTTTCCATAATGTAACATTTTTCTATAATTATTTTTCCAAAGTTCTTTCTGTTGCTCTCAAATAGAATAATCTTCACTCTGGAAATATAATTAAAATGCATAAAAAGTATTTATTTGAAGAGTAACATCACGTGATCAGAAAATATATTTTCATTTAGTATTAATTTATTTTGTTTATTTTTTATGTTACTTTAAGTTCTGGCATATGTGAGCAGAACGTGCAGGTTTGTTACATAGGTTTACACGTGCCGTTGTGCTTTGCTGCACCTGTCAACCCACCATCTAGGTTTTAAGCCCCGTATGCTTTAGGTATTTGTCCTAATGCCCTCCCTCCCCTTGCCCAAGAATTTGTAATGATAGCCATTAAAATCTCAATGTAGAAAATTTTATATCTGATTTGAAAAAGAAAACTGTAGGCTTTAATATTATGTATCTAAAATGCTATTATAGCAATGTAAAATAAAATAGATGATAGATGATAGTGTAAAATGACTGTTAAATACAAGAAAATATGTATTCAATATTTACAACATTGAACTTATCTTTTCATTGTAAATAATATAAAACTACGTTTTGTCTTTACTTTTATAAAATGCATTTTTATTAAAATACACTGTGTATCCATTAAAAGTCATTTGACAAATATAAGTGTGTCTATGTAAAAAGTAGATCATAAACGTGTTTACCTCTGTAAATCTAACATTGTTTTAAAAAGAAAAGCCCCAGATTGTCCAAACCACAGCGGTGATGAATGCCTGATCTGCAGTTGACCCTTGAACAATGCAGACTTGAACTGTGCAGGCCACTTACACATGGATTTCCTTCTGCCTCCGCCACTCCTGAGACAGCAAGACCAACCTCTCCTCCTCTTCGAAGGTCATTCAGAGGTCCTGAATGTTTCGTATTTTTTCACATGGAACTTTCCTGGAGAGAATCCCAAGCATGGTTCACATTGGTTCTCACAAGCTGGGAAAAACTGGGAATGATTATGTTACTATGATTGTAGCCTTCCAGTGAAAGTCCCAGTTTCATTTCTTTCTGTCCTTCAATCCAGACTGGCTTTCAGACACAAAAAGAAAAATACGTCATGATCTCACTTATATATTGGGACTAAAAATAAACTGAATACAAAGAAACAGAGAGTAGAATGGTGGTTACTCAAAGTTAGCTTGTCTGAGAAACTGACTCGGTGCAGGATGCAGCGTCTTCATCTCCCTGTCTCATGAGGTCACCACTCTCCACCAATCAGCAATCGCCACACGTTAGCTCGTCAGGCAACCGGACTCCTTAAAAATGCCATCTCGAAGCGTCTCCAGAAGGCTGATTTGAGGCTCTCTTTCTCTTCCTCCTTCAGCTGGCCTACGATTATTAAACTTTGTCTCCTGCAACTCCCGCTGTTTTGGTGTTTTGGTCGGCTAACACTCCATGGGCAATTGAACCCTGTGGGCCTGTGACAATCCTCCTGCCTCAGTCTCCCCGTAGGTGGAATTACAGGCCTGTGCCACTGTCTCTTGCTCTTTTACAAAAGATTTGACATAAATGGTTATCATCTGAATCTTGTATCTTTGGGACATACAGTGGGATTTCTTATTAAGTAAATATGAGTATGGATTTAAAGAACTATGTGATTTAATGAATAATTCAAATGGACTGAATACAGACATGGAAAAATGTAAAATAAGCAGCTCAGTTTTATTTATGTTTCTTATTCTAATCTCTTCTTTCAGAATAAACCAAGTCGTGGCCGACTATCTGCTTAGTTTTGTCGTTTCTACTGCAGAAGTGTGAAATAGTCAATTTCTACGTCACGAAAACTCTCAGGAGATCTGGGGTATTTCAGGAGTAAGTTGTTGACTCATATCCCCCATGTTTGCATATGTGATGTGACCCTAGTGGGTAGTTTTGAGGTATACCTAAAAGTCTTTCTCTTTTACAGAAATTCCCTTGAAGTCTGTCTTCCCACATCAAATAAGGAGTGTTATCTCATCTTTCAGCTCAAATAGGTTTTGTCTTCTGTCTTTTGAAGATGTGAAAACAGTTCCCTGGTTGCACTAGACATGGCACCTACTATTATGTTAACAGCCAAAGTTTTAAACTTGACAAAAAAATTCTTCAGCTTTTCAAATGCAGGGATATTGAAACATCTCTACACTTGGACTTTCAGGAAATTGTCCTTGCCAGGATGTACACTGACTACCCTGACTGGATCATTATACAACATACATATACATCAGTACATCAAATTGGCTGGTCCAAGTGCAGTAGTGTTTACAACTAATTGATCACAACCAGTTACATGTTTCTTGGTTCCTTCTCTACTCCCACTGCTTCATCTAACTAGTCTATACATATCAAAATATATCAAAATAAATATAAATAAAAATACATATCAAAATGTGTCAAATAATAATTTATCAAATACACGTGGAAAAATTCAAATACTTTTAAAACTCAACAGAATTAAAAGTGAAGAAGTATTAGTTTTCTCAGGTAGATTGTATTATTAATTCATTTAGTAAAAAAATAAATTTGATAACATTTAAAGCACTCTACTGAATAAAAATTTAATTAAATTACTTAAATTAAATATAAATATTTTCTAAATATTAATAAACCAAAGAGAGTAGTAACAACATTTTATTATCTGTTTTAATGGGAGAAAATCGCTGTATAATTTAATGAGCATTTCCAAATGTAAAGAACCAATGTGAACATGCATAGCACCTAAAATATGTTAAAAGATAACTCCCATGTATGTGATAGCTTAATAATTTCTACTTATGTGTTTTTATTAAATTAAACTCATTCTATTTTAGTGGCTTAAATCTTACTGCCAATATAAATCAAACTCAGAAAGAAATTAATGTATGCAGATTCATTATTACTGTGGATGCCTGAATAACAACATTCAAACTATAGGTTTTCATAAAGTTTAGAAACACAAAAACATTGACATAATGTGAATAAATCTATTTGTTTCTTCCTCCATTGAGTTTACCTTTGACATGCCTTGAAACATCTAAATACATAATCAGAACTAATTTCTGACCCTTGGACTAAGGCCATCCTCTGTTATTAGTGACTCAGCCTAGAATGTTCAAAGTCTCAGTGGACAATCCCCAGGGAATACCCGCAAAACAACTGTTAATCTCATTCTCCAGGTAAAGAGGGAGTGGAATCATGGTTGCTACTGAATCCCCATGAAGGTCTCTGAAATCTCCTGTAGGGAAGAAAAATGAATATATGCATTTCTTTAAACAATATTCTTTAGGCTTACTCAAAAAAATGAATTTGTTTCTATGATGACTGTAGGACTGCTGTCAGCTAAGCAAAGGTCGTGAGTGTTTGGAAATGAGGAAATAAGAAAGGTATTAATTATAATTGTATTTTAAAATTTTTATTGATCACAGGGAAGAAGGGACTCTGGCAAGGGTTTAAGAGGACTTTGTTTCAGACATAGAATTGAGGTGAATCTGAGCACGAGTGACTGTACTTTCTATAACACTATTCAGTGGAAATCTTGGAGTAGGAAATGCAGACAACCTAAAGTGGTTTTGCAGTTAATTCATAAATGTGTTTTCTGGTTGGGAAGGGAAATGATGGTCAATGGAAGAGACAGGGATAGATGATATTAGACTATGCTTTTATGGGCTCAAGTGAAATTAAAGAACCCAAATTCACAATAATGATTGTAGGGGGCAACATTTCCTTGTACCTACTTGGTTGGTGTTTTGTTTTGGTTTGGTTTGATTTATTTTGCCATGAGTGATGAGTGATTGTATGATGCTCATTGTAATCTTAATGCTGCTTCTTACTTTGTGATCTAGAGAAGTTCACTTACAACCTCTGAATCTCAATGTTTGTCATCTAAGATGTTGGTGGTGATGTCCATGTAAAGAGCTTTTTACTAGGATTAAAACCAATGGAATCACAGAACAAATCCTGACATATTGCAAGTGCCAGTGTGTGGAGATAGTCAATAAAAGTTCATGCCGGTATCCTTCCTTTCATGCAGGACATCATTGGGGTTGAAGGTTGGTTTTTCTACTTGCAATGAAAATATCATCAGAAATTTTTCTGCTCACTTTTTCCTCCTGTGTATAACACCATTAATGCTGATGCCTAGGTATATATATTTTAGGAGGGTTACAAAAAAAAAGCAACTGGAAATGTTTTTATAGGCTTAAAATATTTATTGCTATTTGGGTGGATAAAAAACTAAGGGACAGAACCCATGTGGATTTATTTTTGCATAAGAAAAACATATCCTCTTCACATTACTGAAACAGATATATAATGGCTGAGACTGCTTTCTCGTTAGGGACGGGGCTCTATTTTTTTAAAACAATATTATATGATAGAATTAGAACCCTGGAAAATGAATTATCAAAGAGATGCTACATTGGTGTTCATGAGATATTGTAACTACAGTCACAGAACACACTCCTGCCCCTCACCACTTGCAAAGTCCTATTAACAAGAGCAAGGTCTGGTAGAAAGAAAGAGACTTTTTATTCCAAGCTTAGCTGAGGGGAAGCAGGACAAGCTTCTGACTGAACGGGAAATACTTCCCCTTTCAGGGCAGTAGACAAGGTCTTTTAAAGGGGTCTTGGCTTGAATGGCATGCAGGGGGTGAGGAGATGGGGGGTCCAATGACTTGCTTCTGATGTATTTTCTTTTTTTTTTCTTTTTCTTTTATTATTATTATACTTTAAGTTCTAGGGTACATGTGCATAACGTGCAGGTTTGTTACATATGTATACTTGTGCCATGTTGGTGTGCTGCACCCATCAACTCATCAGCACCCATCAACTCGTCATTTATAGCTTCTGATGTATTTTCTACCCGGTGGTCTGGCTGGCACCATCTCAGGCAGAGCTTGGTTGTAAATTGAGGCAAGCTCCTAGTGGGAGGGAGTTTTGGGGGTGCCTGATTTTCTTCAAGGTTCCTTCTCTAGAACTTTTAAGCAAACACAAAGTCATATAAGCTTGCCTTGTAGAACGTGTCTGGTGGAGTGTAAAGGATAGATTTCCATTCCTAAACAGTTAAGCAGAAGGTAGGGGGAGATTGGAAAAATAAATTTGTTGTATTTCTTTTTTAAAAATAGGGTACTCAGTTACAACATGGCATTACGTATGAGATCTGATGTGCCATTTAATATTCTGATGTATGTTACTTTTCCTCTTTTTAAAATTAGGATAATAACTCTCATGGAAAGTTTATCATTGACTGCCCTATATAAAATACAAATAATAGAAATGTTTGGAATGTTAATTGTGTTAGTAATTTCAAATGGTACATGTTCTAATTGCCAATACTTAAACTACTAATATAAATTACAAACTGTTGCATCAGTCTTAATGCTGATCTCATCTTGTTTCCAAATGATACATATAAAAACTAATTTGTCCTTCTAAATTGTCCTTCACAAATAAACAGAGGTCATAAAATAATTGAAAATAAATTGCTCTGTAGAGGCTCAGAAATTTGCCAGAATTTTCTTAAAATGTATTTGGACATCCAAATATGAAATAATTTCAGTACATTTAAATGTTTTTATTATTTTTATTTATTTCATACATGAGATACTACATATTATCTCATGTATTAAATATACATAAGATAAACTGCACCATTTAAACTATTTTAACTGTTCAGGTCTGTGGCACTAAGTATATTTATATTATTCTGTAACCATCCCCACCATTCATCTCCAGAATAGTTTCATTGTCTCCAACTAAAATTTTGTTCTCTACACAGTTATTCTCCTTGACTCCCTTCCCCCATCCCCCGGGGTCCAGCATTCTACTTTCTGTCTCTGTGACTACTCTGGGTACTTCATGAAAGTAAATTCATGCAATATTTGCCTGTTCCTGGCTTATTTCACTTTGTATAATGTAATCAAGTTTCGTCTATGTTGTGGCATATGTCAAAATTTCTTTCATTTTAAAAACTGAATAATATTCCATTGTGTGTACTCACTACATTTTTTTATTGATTTCTCTGTGGATGGACACTGACGTTGTCTCTGCCTTTGGGGTGTTATTAATACTGCTGCTGTGAACGTGGGCATAGAAGTAGATTTTTGTGTGTCTCGTTTCTTTGAGTTCATGTTCAGAAGTGAAATAGTTGGAACCTATACTAATTCTGTTTAATTTTTGAAGAAATTACTATACAGATGGTCCAGAAACACAATAATTTGACCATTTTTTGTCTTTACTATGCATTTATAAAAACATAAAACTCTATTGTAAGTCCAGGAGCATCTGAAATTACAATGGTTTGACTTAATATTTTAACATTGAGATAACTTTTTCATGATAGTAAATGTGTATTTTACTTACAATATTTTCAACTCATAATGGGTTTTTCAGGATGAAACCCATCATAAATCGAGAAGCCTCTCAATCATTTTCCACAGAGTCTGTACAATCTCATTTTGCCGCTGACTATACTTTCATGGTTTTACCTCTTACACTTAGGTCTTTGATTTATTTTGACGTAATTTTTCTATATGGTGTAAAGTGAGCATCCAATTTCAACATTTCGAATGTAGATATCTAGTTTTTCAAACTCTGTTTATTGAAAAGACTGTCCTTTCCACATTGAGTAAACTTGGTTTGCTTGCCAAAAAAAATACTGCTGTGTATATGACAGTCTATTTCTTGACTCTGTTACTCTGTTTCCTCTTTCTTCTTCTTGTCCTTCCTTTTTTTTTTGAAACAGGGTCTCACTCTGTCACACAGCTTGGAATGTGCTGGTGTGATCTTGGCTCACTGCAACCTCTGCCTCCTGGGCTCAAGCAACCCTCCCACCTCAAGCCCCCAAGTAGATGGGACTACTGGTGCGAGCCACCACACCTGGCTAATTTTTTTTTTTTTTTTTTTTTTGTAGAGACAGAATTTTACCATGTTTCACTGGCTGGTCTCGATGTTCTGAGCTCAAGCAATCTGCCTGCCTCAACCTCCTAAAGTGCTGGGATTACAGGTGTGAGCCACCACACCTGTCCTCTCTTTCTTCTATTGGTATACATGTCTGGCTTTATACCAATGCCATACTGTTTTGATTTCTGTAGTTTTTGGAATTGGAAAAATTCAAGGATGCCCATTCTCACCTCTTCAACATAGTATTTGAAGTCCTGGCTAGAGCCGTCAGAAAGAGAAAGAAATAAAGGTTATCCACATCAGTAAAGAGGAAGCCAAACTGTTCCTCTTTGCTGATTATATGATTGTTTACCTAGAAAACTCTAAAGCTTTCTCCAGAAAACTTCTAAAACTGATAAAAGAATTCAGCAAAGTTTCATGATACAAAATTAATGTACACAAATCAGCTGCAAATATTAAACCACTTAGGAATATACCTAACCAAGGAGGTAAGAGAACTCTATAAGGAAAACTACAAAACACCGCTGAAAGAAATCATAGATGAAACAAACCTATGGAAACACATATCATGCTAACACATAGGTAGAATTATTGTATCTTTAATTTCCAAGAGTCATTTATTGTTGCATTTCACATCCTTGTATATAGCTAATGATATTTGGTGGATTTTATAACATATCATAGACATCTTCATTCCTGAAGATAGGAATTCTTAATTTTAAAAACTCATTCTTTTTGCAGGTTTGTGATAGTTTTAACTCAGTGTGCATATATGTGTATTGATCCTTAAGTGAGTGTGCATCTTTGTGTGTGCGTGTATAGATGTGAGTTTGCACACTGTGTGGCTCTTACTCTTTCATATTGTTACACTTCCTCAAAGGTCTGCTGACTTTTGGCTCTAAAATATTTTTCAAGCCTAAAAACTTCATTCCTCTTATGCATTCTGTGCAAAGTTGTCCACTGATGTCTTCTATCTGGAGAAGAATGCTCGAACCACCTCTACCCAGAAAACTGTCAGGTTGCTGTTTCCTTTTTTCCATTTCAGTGAATGGTCATTTCTCCAAATCCTGTCTTTTGAAGACATAAAGTGATTTACTGTCTTTGCTTCCCTAATGCTTAGATTATATTACACTTTATGAATCCTTCCAAAAAATTGATAAATATAATCCCTTCATATGAATGGGAGGATCCATAAAGTCTACGTAATCTAAGCATGAGGGAAGCAAAGACACAGAATATAAATCATATCTAGGGAGACCTTGAGCAGAGACATGGAAGCTAAAATGAACTTGGCATATAGATATTGAGATTAGAGTGTCTACATTAACTTGAGAATTCAGAAATTGGATGAGGAGGCAAAAGAAAATGGACATTTGATGGTGGTGGACATTCAAAATCAAGGCTATGAATTCCATTTCATGAAAAAGGTACTTAAAATAACAATTCATTCTACATTTTCAAATAGAAGAACCAAATAATGATGTCTGACTTAGGGAAAGTTTGACTTGGAATTATGCAAAGACAATTCAAGAAGGAAACATAAGTTCCTCCAAATGAGTCATAGGATGCAGCAGTTTCAGAAGTAAGTCTTAAAGAATAAATTTAGAAAAACCAATTATCCAGAAAAAATAATGCTAATTTATTTATAATACAGATCCATAGCATATGCATTTAATTTACCTTTCCATGTGTATGTTTTAAGCATAGCATATGATCTTAATGGCATCTGAGTTTGTGTTCGGCATCAAACATTCATATCCTTTTGAAGTTGTAAGACAAATGATTTTTCCTATAAATGTATATATTTCTTAGAAAAAAATTTGGTTATAAATATTTGTCTCATCAAATATTAATCTCTGGATAGAAAATACGATTATTTTCTAAAAGGAAAGATTAGTTCATCATTTAAGAGTTATAAAATTGTATAAGTAATTCACAGTCTAACTAAAGTAAGGATTTTTAAAAACAATTGGCTTACTATTCTGTAAGTAGTCCCCTCTTATCCACTGTTTTGCTTTCCATGGTTTCTCCTGTGATCAAATGCGGTCTGACAATATTGCATGGAAAAGTCCACAAATGAACACTTCATAAATTTTAAATTGGTTTTCAATCATAGCCCAATGTTGCATCACAGTGCCTACATTATTCCCCTCACTGTATCTCATCATGTAGACATTTTGTCTTCCTATGAAGCATTTTGTCATCACAAGAAAAATGAGCACTTTTTCAATAAGATGGTTTGAAAGAAAAATACAGATTGCATTCACATAAGTTTTATTACATTATATAGTTATAATTGTTCTATTTTATTTGTAGTGATTTTTGTTAATCTCTTCCTTGCCTAATTTATAAATTAAAGTGTATAATACGTATTTATGGATATAAAAATAGTGTATATAGGGTTCAGTATCAACCCCAGTTTCAGGCACCCACTGGGGGTCTTGGAATGCAGCTGCTGTGGATAAAAGTGAATTACTGTACTTAATTTACCCTTGTGTCTCCCTTCAGTATGGATTGTAGGAATGCCCTATGGAAAATTACAATCAAACATCAACTGATTTCATCTTATTGGGGTTGTTCCCACCATCAAGAATTGGCCTTTTCATCTTCACCCTCATTGTTCTCATTTTCCTAATGGCTCTAATTGGAAACCTATCCATGATTCTTCTCATCTTTTTGGACACCCATCTCCACACACCCATGTATTTCCTACTTAGTCAGCTCTCACTCATTGACCTAAATTACATCTCTACCATTGTTCCTAAGATGGTTTATGATTTTCTGTATGGAAACATGTCTATTTCCTTCATTGGATGTGGGATTCAGAGTTTCTTCTTCTTGACTTTAGCAGGTGCAGAAGCACTGCTCCTGACATCAATGGCCTATGATCGTCACATTGCTATTTGCTTTCCTCTCCACTATCCTGCCCGTATGAGCAAAAGAGTGTGTGTGCTGATGATAACAGGATCTTGGATGATAGGCTCCGTCAACTCTTGTGCTCACACAGTATATGCTCTCCATATCCCATATTGCAAGTCCAGAGCCATCAATCATTTTTTCTGTGATGTTCCAGCTATGTTGACCCTAGCCTGCACGGATACCTGGGTCTATGAGAGCACAGTGTTTTTGAGCACTACCATCTTTCTTGTGTTTCCCTTCATTGGTATCGCATGTTCCTATGGCCGGGTTCTCCTCGCTGTCTACCGCATGCACTCTGCGGAAGGGAGGAAGAAGGCCTATTCGACCTGCAGCACCCACCTCACTGTAGTGACTTTCTACTATGCACCTTTTGCTTATACCTATCTACGCCCAAGATCCCTGCGATCTCCAACAGAGGACAAGGTTCTGGCTGTCTTCTACACCATCCTCACCCCAATGCTCAACCCCATCATCTACAGCCTGAGAAACAAGGAGGTGATGGGGGCCCTGACACGAATGATTCAGAAAATCTTCTCCATGAAAATATAGACAAACATTCTGTCTTAGAGTCAAAGCACAAGGTTCATATCAACTTAGCCATGTACAGCAGTGAAGAAAAACATTATTACATGCCCAGTGTGTTAAACAGAGATTAATCTAGAACATTTGTCTTTTAATTTAGTCTTGACAACATTATAATGCATATTCTAAGACATCTATTTTTGATTATGTTTGTGTGTTTTTTTGGTTTGTTTATTTGTTTGTTTTTAATGGGTTTTGGCTCTTGTTTCTCAGGCTTGGGTGCAATGGCGCAATCTCAGCTCACCACAACTTCCGCCTCCCGGGCTCAAGCAACTCTCCTGCCTAAACTCCTGAGTCAGTTGGGATTACAGGCATGAGCCACCACGCCCTGCCTGTTTTGTTTTTTTTTTTAATCAAATATAGGTTATATATTTTCTACCAAATGTGGGCAACAGGGTTTCATTAACATGTAGAAATCAAAACAGTAAAGATCCAAACTAATCATATTATTCAGCATAATAATTATATAATAGTTGTTAATCTCCTTATTATTAAAAGACAAATATAACAAATTATTTACGATTACTGAATCTCATTGACTATCAAGTAGTCTTTATTTACTCTCAACTGGTGTGTATGTCTTCTTTTTCCCAATGTTTTACTAATAAGTTTACCTGAGGATAAATAATTATGTTGGCGGAGCAGCCAATTTGGCTTTAGAAAAACAAGAGTTTCTGTATAAGAAATTCTATAGAAGTTACAGTCTATAGACCCTCTTAGACTATAATTGACTTAGTTGATTGTGGAGTAGGTTATTTGAACCATTCCCCAGTCACATCACAACACACTCAAGATTTGCCTCCTCTGTAGCCATGGGTATTTTCATACAAGACATTGTCTTCTGTAAAATTTTATTTCCACTTACTCTTCTCATAAATCAACAGGACTATTCAGCTTGAATTGGGATCAGCTCCTCTCTCCACTATTTTTATACCTGCTTAGGCATGTGCCTAAAAGGATCACCATTATTTCATAAAGGTTATCTGCTTAGGTCCATTCTCTGAGTGAAAGGCCATTGCTCTCCAGAAGAGCCCATTCCTGAGAAACTCTTTTGTCTCTGAGGAGAAGAGGCAAGAAGGAAGGTAGAATGAGCAAGTAAGAAGAACCTCATATTATCCAAGTGATAGCAGTGGTGAATGACTGATTATGCAGTTGGTCCTTGAGCAACACAGATTTGAACTGTGCAGGTTCACTTGTGGATTTTGTTCTGCCTCTACCACTCCTGAGACAACAAGAACAACCTCTCCTCCTCTTCCTGCTCCTCAGCCCACTCAACGTGAAGACAACAATGATGAAGAACTTTATGACAAACCTCTTTCCCTCAATAAATAGTAAACATATTTTCTCTTTCTGATGATTTTCTCAATAAGATATTCTTTTTCTAGCTCACTTTACTGTAAGAATAGAGTATATAAGACATATAAGATATAAAATATGAGTTAATTGAATGCTTATGTTATTTATAAGGCTTCCTGTCAACAGTAGGATATCAGTAGTTAGGTTTTGGGAAGTTCAAAGTTATGTGCATATTCTACTGCATGGGGGTCAGTGACCCTAATTTCTATGTTGTCCTAGAGTCATCTGTATTACAATTGGAATAATCATTTTCAAACAAGAACGTTAACATTTGAATAGGAGGTACAAATATGGATCTGGATATACTCATACCAATTAAGCATTTAAAGTTTACTAGAGTACTGAATAATTTAAATTTTGACTTACAGAATGGCAAATGTATATGACTTTTCTTCTCCCCTAATTTAAATTGAGTAGAATTTTCTCATCATTAGGACTGCATGAGAATGTCATAATAATATGAGAAAGGGTAGTAGTTGCCTGATGTTGAAAGATTTTCCTAATGTCACATAAATAAAAGAAAATAAAATAAAAGATAAGTACTTACCAAGCACTTACTCCACTGTGAGGGACACAGACAATCACATGTCACATAAAATGATGAGACAATATGGCAACTGCAAGTTAACTTAGGCCTTTTGTTCTTTTATTGTAATGAATACAACTAATCATAACATTTTATCAATCTTGTCCACATTAATATTTTAAAGCTCTCTTTCCCATATTTTATAATCACCACCTTACTTCAGCTCCTCATCTTCTCTTCACTAAAGTTTTTCAAACTAAATCAAAATAGAATTTGAAATTTGATATTACCGGCTAAGATTCTTAACTAAAAACAACAAAATCAGTGTAATTTAAACTGAAAATACAGTATTTTTTTAAAAAGTGAAGCATTGCCAAATCTCCAAAAAAATGGACATGAGTAAGGTCTGAAAATCTGCCAGCATGAGCAGTTTCCAATGTGCTTGATAATGAGTTCTGTGAGGTCACGACTCTTGCGCCTTCTGGGTGCCATTCCCAGCCCTACAAACTTGGTGAATTTGTTTCTGTGGTGTCTTTGTAGCCTTACAGGATTTTCACCCGCCCTGCTGCTTTGAGCTACCCATTCCCATGTTAAAATCTGGGATCAAAAAATCCATTGTAGACTCTCCACCTATATACCGTAGCCATAGCTGAAAGTCAGGTAGGGAAGTAAGTGTGTGACTTCTAGCAGAGACAGTGAAATGTTTGCTCTCTGAGGCATGTCAAAAGAGAGTTCAGATACACAAAGAAGGGTAAATAAATTCTACACTATATGTTGAGCCAACAGTCTCACAGCCACAGATTTATCTATTTACGTGGGCCAATATGAAGGAGATATAGAATATGTGAGAAGTTTGTTATATGCATGATACTTGGAGAAATATCCAGGGGAGAAGAAAAGAGTAGACATGATTTGTTTTGTATTTCTCAAGTAGGCCAACAAATTCCGGTGGCCCTATGTGGACAGACATTGAATGGAGTCTCAAGAGAGGCAGATAGACTTGACATGGAAGAAACTCTTCCGTGAAGAGTGAAACTTGCTGCAAAGGGGTCCCGATCCAGACCCCAAAAGAAGGGTCGTGGATCTCGCGCCAGGAAGAATTCAGGGCAGGTCCGCAGGGCAAAGCAAAATCAAGTTTATTAAGAAGGAAAAGTGGTGAAAGAACAGCAACGCCATAGACAGAGTAGCGCATTCCCGAAAGTAAGAGGAGGAACGTGTCCACCCTGGGTACAATACTTGTTTAAATACAGAATAAAAAATATCATGGGGAGATGTGCTCTGCTACAAGTGTTTGTGTTAAATGATTAATTTTCTTAATTAGTATATTTTTCAAGAATCAAAATTATTATCTTTAAAGAAAAATTAAGAATGCCTTTTTTTTGTTGTTGTTGTTGTTTTTGTTTTTTTTTTGTTTTTTTTTTTTGAGACGGAGTCTCGCTCTGTCGCCCAGGCTGGAGTGCAGTGGCCGGATCTCAGCTCACTGCAAGCTCCGCCTCCCGGGTTCCCGCCATTCTCCTGCCTCAGCCTCCCGAGTAGCTGGGACTACAGGCGCCCGCCACCGCGCCCGGCTAGTTTTTTTGTATTTTTTAGTAGAGACGGGGTTTCACCGTGTTAGCCAGGATGGTCTCGATCTCCTGACCTCGTGATCCACCCGTCTCGGCCTTTGTTCTTAAAATATCGGGATATCTGGGCACTCCCAAGTCTGGGTCTGTTTAGTAAACATTGCCAACCTGTTTCCTTAACCGTAAACATCTAGAGGCCAGAAATACCAAACTTTCTAGGAATCCCAAACTTTCTAGGAATACCAATCTTTCTGGGAATGCAGCCCAGCAAGTCCCAGGCTAATTTTCCAGCCCTCGCTCAAGGTGGAGTCGCTGTGGTTCAAAAGCTTCTGACAAAATGAGCGGACAATAATTATGTTACCAAGATTGTAGCCTCCCAGTGCAAATCTCAGTTTCTCTTTTTTCTGTCCTTCAATCTAGACTGGCTTTCAGACACAAAAAGAAAAATACTACCTGATCTCACCTATATATTGGGCCTAAAAATAAATGGAATACATAGAAACAGAGAGTAGAACGGTGGTTGCTCAGTTAACTTGTCTAAGAAACGGACTCAGTACAGGATGCAGCGTCCTCATCTCCCTCTGTCATGACGTCACCACCCACTTCTCCGCCAATCAGCAAGCCCCACACTTTAGCTCATCACGCATCCACACGCCTTAAAAATGCCATCCCGAAGCGTCTCCAGAAGGCTGATTTGAGGCTCCCTTTCTCTTCCTCCTTCAGCTGACCTATGATTATTAACTTTCTCCGCTGCAACCCCTGCTGTTTTGGTGTTTTGGTCTGATAACACTCCATGGGCAATTGAACCCTGTGGGCCTGTAACAATCCTCCTGCCTCAGTCTCCCCATTGGTGGAATTACAGGCCTGTGCCACTGTCTCTTGCTCTTTTACAAAAGATTTGACATAAATGCTTATCATCTGAATCTTGTATCTTTGGGATATAGAATGGGGCTTCTTATTAAGTAAATATGATTATGAAATTAAAGATCTATGTGATTTCATGAATAATTCAAATACGCTGAACACAGACATTTAAAAAATGTAAAATAAGCAGCTCAGTTTTATTTACGTTCCTCATTCTAATCTCTTCTTTCAGAATAACCAGGTTTTGACCTACTCTATGCTTGGTTTTGTGCTTTGTACTGGAGAAGTGTGAAATAGTCAATTCCTGCTTCCAGAACACTCTCAGGGAGATCTGGGGTATTTCAAGAGGAAGTTGCTGACTCACATCCACCATATTTGCGTACTTGACCCTAGTGGGTAGTTTTCAGGTAAACCTAAAAGTCTTTCCTTTTACAGAAATTCCCTTGAAGTCTGTCTTACCACGTCAAATAAGGAGTGTTACCTCCTCTTTCAGCACAAATAAGTTTTGTCTTCTGTCTTTTGAAGATGTGAAAATAGTTCCCTGCTTGCACTAGATATGGCTCCTCCTATATGTTAAAAGTCATGGTTGTAAACTTAATAAAGGAATTATTCAGCTTTTCAAATGCAGGAATATTGAAACATCTGCACACTTTGACTTTCAGGAAATTGTCCTTGCCAGGACTATACACTAACTATGCTGATTGGATAATTATAAAACATATACATGCATCAGTAAATTAAATTGTCTGGTCGGAGTGTAGTGGTGTTTACAACTAATTGATCACAACCAGTTACAGGTTTCTTGGATCCTTCTCC